ATTTATGCCCCAACAAACTACAAATGAGAGATGTTGTATTTGGAAACATGAACTATATCATGGTATGTTGAAGAACCCATTCGAGTATGGACTTAAATATTCTTACTGCATTTGTTAACATATTTGGAGGAAGGATTCTGCCATTTGCCTTACGTTGTATATTGTTTTTGCTTATCATTACCGCATCAGGTACGTGAAGTACATCTATGCTCGTATTAGCATGCTTGTGTCTTAAGAACATCAGTTACCACACTTTATTCTCAAGACATATATTTCCCTTCCAGAAAAAATTACAAGACAGCTACGCAGACTCTGGAATATGACAGCCTCCAAATTTGTGGTGGCACTGCGCGATGATTTCAGTCCGGTCATGAAATCACCTCAAAAACGACTAAAGTTGAGAGGAAACAAACTTTAGACCTTAGGAAACCCTGCGTAACTTATTTGAAGGTAGGTATATATTGCAACAGATAAGGATTGAAAGTACCACAAACAAAATCAAAGGATTGAAAGTACAACAAACCGTTAAATGATGCTATTAGGAAAAAAAAAAAACAGTTATCGAGTGATAAGGCTGTTCTCAAATTTCTTCTTTTGATAAAGTAGGCAGTTCTCAAAACTTTTATAACCATATGCAAAAGAAACTTGAATCTAACTCTGTTACAAGAAGTTATCATTCCCTTCCAATGAAGAGTAGCACCCAGACTACTGAATGAAGAGTAGCACCAATACTACTGAATAGGGTATAGCGACCAATCTAATTTGTCCTGAACTTATCGTAATGTGAAAAAAATGGAGGTGCAATTCTAAGCAGCACCACTGGCACCCTTTCCTTTCTTTTTCTGGAGTTTCTTCATGTAAAACTCAAGTTCCTTACCCTCCAAGATGTATCTGTCAAAGTTCAATGAAGAAAAAGTGTAAATCTTCCTGGAAAACAGAAATAATCCTTCTAGCACCATCTAATTCCTTCTGGAAAACACAAATAATCATGAATCTCATTGGGAAGATGTTATAGTAAATCTTCCTAGTAATAATCTCAAAGCTAAGAGTAGCTAATACAATTTACCAGGACGTTGGGGGAAACAGACTTTTAGACAAATATACCATTATCATTCATTTGGAATTGGCAATTTTCACCTAAATATCACACAGAATCAGTAGAGAGTTCTTACCCATCGGCACGACCACACTGGCCAGGTCGTGATGAGATTGCAGCCAATAGACGCCCACTAGCAAATTGCTCCTCAATATGTGGGTCAATCTTGCGATCCTGTTGCCGCTTTTGCAGCTTTCTTTGGACATGGTTACTCTTTTTCTCCTCTGGAACAGCCTCAGCCTCCTGTGAATCAATCAAATAGAAATAATCAAAACAGAGAAAGACTTATGTTGAAACTTCCGTAGCTAAAGCTGCAATCTAATGATGACAAATACAAGTTCAAGAAATCCTTTATCAGAACCGCCTACAGCATAAACCGTTAAACGCCAAAAGCAAAGACGCAAGTCTCTTAATAATAAGAATGTCCATACATAATATACTCAAGACAAATAAAGCAGCAAAAACTGATTATGCAATCATTGAGATTAAAAAAAATAGCATATAAATTAGGAGAGTGCTGAAGTTGAGAAAAGACATTCAAATACCTCTACTTCCTTCTTGGAAGCAGCAGTCTTCTTCTTGCGACCAATATCAACACCATAGTGCTGGAGATACCACTGTTTAAATGGAGCTGCATCAACCTGAACAATCGCACTCTTCACCAGGGTTTGCGTTCTAACCAACTCATTGTTAGAGGCATTATACACCACATCCAATAAACGAGTCTTCCTTGTAATAGCCTCACTTCCCCAAGAGTAATTCCCAGTATCCAACCTCAATGCACGCCACTTCACATTACCTCCTCGGACTCTTATTCTTCTAACAGTCTTAGCATTAGGAACCAACTTTGTATTTGCTGGCTGTCTGCCAAGCTCGTACCTTCACAGGAACAAGAGATACAAAGTCAATCTCAAAAAGTAACAGCAAAAAACATAATTTCGTCATATATATCAATCATTTAAATCAAAAATCAAATAGAATTGGGGTCAAGAGAGAGACTTAGAATAAACCAATGGAAGTACACTGAAATATTTGGTTGTACACGAGCAATAGCACACATCACTCATTTCTGGTACAATCGTATCCTTGATGTTAGCTAATTAGTTAGAACACGTTATTAGCTGGAGAAAGTGAGCAGCTTCGCTCTCTTTCATTCTCATTAAGTCAGTTAGACTCATATGGTAAGGCATGGATCAATGAGAAATTCATCAACTTTTCCATATTTTTCCTTCTCTTCTTCATTTACATTACCTTTCCTCTTTACTTTAAACTTCCTCTTCTACATTTTTTCTTCTTGCTTCAGCCTATTCATTAGACTAAATCTTTATAATGACAAAAAAAAAGGAATCCCCATTAGCCTAAACTCCACTCCACACAATAGGATGCATGTAGAATTTTCATATATTCAATACAGAACGCAGTAACAACGCACTAGGTGAGGTATTGCTACAATCTGCCGATAAACACTAAATCCTTAAACATGCCAAAATTTGCAGATCACAAGGAAATCATCAATTTTAGCACATTAATTACTTATATATTAAAAAAAAAATAGCACATTGAATAAATAAGATAGTTAGGGGTACATACTTTCTCTTCTTCCTCCAAGCCTTCTTCTTGCCTCCAGTGGCCCGTCTCTTGTGCATAGAATCACGAGAGATACCTATATAAATAAATTGCTCCTTAAAAACAAAACAAAAAAAAAACATTGAAGAAATAAGATGAATTGTAAGGGAGTGAAAAAATTGATTTCATTTACCCATTGTTGCCGGCGATGGAGGGCCCTAGGGTTTAGGTTTTCCCAAATGCAACGCACTAAAAAATGGAGGGCTCTGCAAGCGGCTGACCAATGTGACCTTGCTGGGTTTTATCAGCCTATAGCTCAAAACCCTAGCTGCTATACGATTCCAATTTTGCCCTTACTCAATTTAAACGACGCCGCAAGATATATAAGATAAAAATGTATTGTTGGTCCTTATGATTTTGGCCTATGACTTGATTTTTGGTGGAGTACCATGTTTGGTATTTAGATGTTTACATGTGTTGTTAATATGGCCATATAATAGAATATTTATTTCTATACTTTATTAAAATGGGAAGGTTTAAGTTTAAAAGTTAAATTATTACCCTTCTTAAAAACTTAACCTTGGTTTTAATAAAAAAATGCCTACAAACCGCCCAACCCAAAGCTTCCTACTACAAGTTACAAACATTCATTCAAATGGAGTAGTATTTTTACTTGAATACATATTTTCATAATTACAGATTTCATTCCGTATATTATCATAATTAAATATTTCTCTCAGCTGGAAGATCTGCACGTATATTTCTACTGCATTTAACAAAAGTTTTTCATCTATATATATATATATATATATATATAAGGAATAAATTTACCATATATAATTGGCATTGTGATTAAGCCAAGTGGCAAACTAATAAATGCCAATAGTATATGGTAACTTTATTCTAGATTTTGATATATATATATATATATATATATATATATATATATA